TTAGCAAGTGGCGAAACGAACGAACTCAATGAGGTACAACCAAACTTGCTATCGTCTATCCGTGCTAGCTAACTTTGTTGTTGCTTTCACATGCAAAATTTTTCTTTAAGCGACCGGAACTCAAACATAGCGAGCGAGAAGTGGCGAATCGACGACGGCATGGCATCCTATGACACCCACAATGCACAAGATACTAATTCCTTATTAACAATAGGACAATTATCGGGGAGGCTCAAGAGGCCCACAACAAACACTACCGAGAAAATTATTCCCGGAAGTTTTCTCGTGAAGTATGTAACCGTGACATATATAACCGGCTGTTGATGAGCTCGGACTCGTTTTTAAGCAGTATTTCGGTGCAAAAAAAGAAAAAATATCAAATCGTTTTCCCCAGACACAACAAAGCTGCTGTTACCCTCTAAATCTGTTGTCAAAGATGTGACAAAGGATTAGTTTGAGGCCAGCGAAGATTCTGAAAGCGAAAACTAATTAACCAATGATAGTGTACACACATTTTATAAATAAAGGTAGTCAATATATTTAAATAGTAAATTATTGGCTAATATATATATTTTATTAATATAACCTATCTGTAATACAAATTATTTCAATTTTACATTTGATAAACAATTTTGAGTAGATAGAGGCAATAAAATATTTTTTGCCGCATAAAACTTGAAAATCTAAAAAAAAATCCAAGATATTTTAACGCCCTTGAGTCACAAGTATATATGTATGTACAAGTATATTTTATCAATCATACCGATAATGTCATGTATTAAAAGAATTAAAAATGAAAATGAATAAAAAAATTAAATCAGCAAAATGAATAAAATTAAGTGAAATTAATGTTTAATTTCTAACCTAACCTACATTTGTATGTGTGTAACCGAATCGCCTTTATATATAAAAATAGTATCCTAATTTTCGAGCTTGACTCCGTAATCTGTTACTAGAAAAAGAGATTAGCCATGCAAAATTATAATTAAAAATATCTCAGATTAAACCGATAACTTTTTGGTGTCCAACCCAGTTTTATCGATTATACTTGCGAAGAAGGGGAGGAATGTCAAATGTTAAAGTAAACAAAAATTGACGCTAGTAAGGAAAATAGGTTTGGAAAGGTATTTTTAACAAAATATTCAGTTAAAATATATTTAAATGGCTTAATATGTGTTGCAAAAAAAAAGTGACCACGGTGGCACAGAGAAGAAGTTTAACTTTTCCTCGAGTTGTGTGAATAACAAGTACAACCAATTTGACAGTTAACGAGCTTTGATTGAGATTATATTTATATGTAAACGTGCTTTTATGCTTTGCCGTTCGCATATGTATACACATCAAACTTCATGAGTACCTAGTACTCACGCTTTTTTTATCTATGTTGACGCATACCTTTGGACCACGTCAACCGATTTCGATAATTCTTTTTCCATCGGAAAGGTAGTGTCTCGCACCGATCATTTGATCATGAAAAAATTAACGGTACTCCTAAGTTTTTATATGAGAATTGAAGTCGGTTGTCTTTTGCTTAAAAGTACTTGTTAGTTTAAATACTTTTTGTACTTATAGGACTCAGAACTAAAATTTTTTAATAATTTTTAAGGCATTTCGAAAACATTATGCTTTCACCATTGGCAAAGTGAAGCGATTTGTTCTATTTGTTTTGATCAAATTCAAATCTGAGAAAATTCGGTCTGCAGCGGCAGAGCTGTGCGGCAAACATAACAGATTAAAGATGGAAAGGTTAGTTCGAAATATAAAAAGTTATTTAAAGCATCTTTTAGCTCGCTTACATGGTTTTTAACACCAACGTAGTAGTGTTGAAACTCGGCAAATTCATCCACCATTTGTAAACATCTCTGGCAAGTGTTTCTACTTTTACGGGAATTTTTTTACACGATTGGAAAAGTATCATAATTTAAAAAGAAGTATCCCTCCAAAATTCATCGAAAAATGTATCACTTTTTATCCACTTTGATCAAAACAGTCACACTGACCACGTTAACCGATTTCTATAATTTTTTTTTTTTAACGGAAAGGTGGTATCTCAGAGGTGGCCCCATAGTCCCTATTATTGGATCAGCAACCGGATTCCAACATTCGCTATCGCTAAAACTCCAACGCCAAAAAGTGCCAAATGAATTTTAGCAATTTTCAGCGATTTTCGCGATTCTATCATTAAAATGCAACTCTAAAAATCGCCATTTTTTGGTTAATTTTTTGAATGAACCCGGATAAAGTGAGTAAACGGTAAAAATGCTTCTTTTTCGCTTGAAAGCCTGCAAATTTGACGACGACAAAAATTAGGTGCTATAAAAGTATATCAACAAAAAATAGGTAATATTTAGATTGTTGTTTGTTTAAAATACTCGATTAAAAAAAAAAGACTTTGTCGTAAATGAAATTGATTAAGTTCTTTTTTTTAAGATTCGAGCAGTGAAACCAAAGAACGTAGATAACAAGAAAGGACAATTCGTTATAATTGTTTTTGATTGGATGAAAAGAGAAGGCACGCCCCTGCTGTGCACTTTCGCCACAATTATAACAAGTAGTCCCTTCTTGTTATCTACGTTCTTTGGTGAAACCATCTTGCCCAGAAACTAAACACGTATGGAGGAGCCATTAAAGACGGTGATAGATGGAAAAGAGCGTGGAGAAATATGAGGTACATTTCTTTGAAAATTTACATAAGTAGCATTATGATTCCAAAAATTATTTCTGAATAATGATCTCCTATCAAGGTCAAAAAAAATCGCAAGATTTGAGAAATTCTATTGAGCGAAGCGGAGTAAATTCGTAAATTTTTGCATTACAGCAGTTTTTTCTATTCATGGTTGCACCAAAATGCTTAATTAACCGACTTGTTTTCACTCTACAAACACTTTATTTAATTTGCAATCCAAAACTCTTTGATTGTACTTTAGTAATTTTATTAATTAGTTATATGAATTTATAATAAATCGGTCAAAATTATTGCAAAGTTTTACTTGAACACATTGAAAACGACGAGCTACGGGCTACAGTTGCCAATTTGTTATCTTCATTATCTAAATGCTTTTTCGATGACGACATGATTTTCTGAACGTGGCAGCGATATCATGAATTTGTATGAGTTTGACATAAAAGAAGAGGAAGAACCTTATCCGTCGCTGGAAAAATAGAAATAGATCTAACCTGGCCACAACCACAGTCGTCGCGTAGCCCGTTAAAATAATTTGACAGCTATGGTTCGTAGCTCGTCGATTTCATTGTGTTCGGGCTATTACTCTTATTTTCACTATTTATCACTATTAAAATCAAAACAAATTTTGACAGCTGCCGGTGCTGCACAGCGCCCCTGGCGGCCGGATAAAGTACTAAAATTTAGGCTAAGCAATTTTTAGCGACAGGGTGGACAGAATCGCGATCTTCGGAGAATGCCAAACATTTGGATAAAATTCTGGCTTAAGCGTTTTAGCAGAGTTTAGCATTTTAGCGATAGCAAAAGTTGGAATCCGGGTGCAGCTTTTCCCAAAACAGGGCTGCCAACATACACAAAAATCGAGTTGCTGCAAGGAAAAGACTTGCATTCCCTTTAAAAGCTTTAAGTGATGCATTTTTTTCATACTTACAGGGGGAAATATTTTTTAATAGCATGGGCGCATATTCATAGTCATATTTAGTACTTCACTAAGTCGAAACTATTCTAATTCACAACTAAAGCTATTCATAGTCGCCTTAGTTTCGACTTTTCTGGCGAAGTACCAACTTAAAATTTAGTTTCGGCTGCAGCTGCAACTAAGTCGTAACTAGGAAGAAGTATTTTATCAAATTAAGGGAAAACAGTCGAAATATGTAAAAATTAATTTGGTAGAGGGTGATTTTGATAATATTGAATAATCTCTAATTAAAATTTACATAGATCGATCCATTTTAATCGGAAGATGAAATTAAATGCGTATTACAATTCGCTACATCACAACTTTATAATTGGAATAATTTTTAGATAAATTCTCAAATAATAAGTCAGTTACACGCTAGTTCTTTTAAAGTAAATTTGTGCATAACATCTAGATATCTACTATTTGTATGTTTCACAGCATGCTATCGATAAACATCGACTTCACATCACTTCGGTTGTTCTGGCTATTTCACACAATTAACAAGAAAATGATACCTTATTCTTTTGCATAATCATGCAATAAAAATAAAAATTACATAAACGGATGATCAAACTTGACATTATTTAATAAAACTGTAATTTTTCAAAAATATCGTAAAGAAAAATCGATACATTTTCACACTCGTTTTGCTATATCGTAAACTTAGTCGAAACTATCTAGTAGAAGTCTGAAATGCGACTATGAATAGAGGTAAATTTTAAGTTGGTACTTAAATTTAAGTTGCAACTTTGTTAGTTTCGACTTAAGTTAAGTTAACATTTCCTAACCAAAATCTCTGAAAAGGGGCAAAAGTCGCACATAATTTGGAAAAGGGTCAAAAAACCAAAATTTTCGAAATGTCGGGTCAATGCATATAGGCGCTAAAAAGGGTAAAATGGGTCCTTTAGCAGAAAACGGCAACACTGGTACAGTGTATATTGCACACAAAAGTCGATGCATAAAAAAAAAATATTTCAAAATACGATATATATCGCAAGATCCAACACATCGGTTTTATTCGATGCATCGAATAGACTAGGTTCACACAGAGAAACATTTGTTGCTCATTTTCGACAATTTCTCTTTTGGTGTTGCTCTTCGTGTTCACACAGAGAAATTCTTTTGTACAAAATTGTTGTTGTCAGCTGTGAACGGCCAACTAGAATTTCGCAGACGAACGATAGCGCAAAGCGTGTTGCCCGAGCACGAGCAACTCGGTGCCCTCCACTTTCCTCGTCTCCCCCTCTCCCACAAGTAACGAGTTGCCGCGACAAAAGTTTCTCCGTCTGAACCTAGACATAGTAAACATCGATGTTTCCGATGCATCGATATTTTTTCTGCATCCCTATTCGCTACTGCTGTATCACCTTCAATTTGACCCAAGGAATGTAAACACATATACGCATAAGTGATTTAAGTGTCTGGCCATCATCAGCTCTACAATTAAAAAAAATATATATAAGCATAAGTAATTGTATGGAATTGAATAGTTAATAAACATGGAACTCATTGGGTTTGTGCATAAATATGAATGGGGAAAATTAGGAAACGATTCTGCCGTAGCCCAACTAGCAACTTTAAATGACCCACAATTTAAAGTGGATTTAAAATCAACTTATGCTGAACTATGGATGGGTTCTCATCCAAATGGACCATCCAGGTACAAATCGGATGGTTCTAAATTGGAAGAAGAGTTACCGTTTTTATTGAAAGTTTTAAGTATAAACAAAGCGCTGAGTATTCAAGTTCATCCTAATAAAGTTACTTTAAGTAATTTTACCGTAGACAGTTCTAAAAAATTGTTATCCTATTTACAGGAGGAAGCTAGACGTTTGCACACAAGTAAACCTGAAATTTACAAGGACCCCAACCATAAACCTGAAATGGCGATAGCCCTTACGCCTTTTGTGGGATTGTGTGGTTTTCGACCTCTTCCGCAAATAAGAGACATTCTACTCAGAATTCATCCACTCAACAAATTGACCGTAGATGATCCCAAGGACCTCGATCTTTTAGCTAAAGACGACGAACAAGGTTTACGACATTGTTATGAAAAACTTTTGAACCAGAGCGCAATCGAGATTGGTCTATGCATCGACTCGATTTCGAAAGAATATTCGAAAGGTGAGCTTATAGGAAATATTTCGGTTTTGTTTAACTTGAAAGTTATAATTGTCTTCCTCCACAGTTTTATGTGATTATAATATAATCGAAATATACAATAAACTCAAAGAGGATTTTCCAAATGACGTTGGGGTACTTTCTATTTTCTTTTTGAACGTTATTCGCCTGCAACCGGGTCAGGCGATGTTCCTTGGAGCAAACCAAATACACGCTTACCTATCGGGAGATGTTGTGGAGTGCATGGCTTGTTCCGATAACGTAATACGTGCTGGATTAACGCCTAAATATAAGGATATCAATCAACTTCTCAGTTGTTTAGAATATACAGGTTCTCCAGCTCAAAATAAAATTTTTGCCCCGGAACGCATTGATGATCAGCGACTACTATTCAAACCGCCTGTTGAAGATTTTGCTTTGACTCAACTGACCTTAGGACGAAACGATACAGAATATGTTTTAAAGGTTGAACAGTCTCCTGGTATATTACTTGTGATAAGCGGACAACGCACTTTAGAATCGATCGGCAACAATGCTTTAAAACTAAAACGTGGATCGATTGTTTACTTGCCTTGGAAAATTGGAACCGAAATGCGTTTTATATCCAGTGGAGAGGACAATACTAAATTTTTGACTTATATCAGCACCCCCAATTCACCTTAACCCTCAACCATTAACCTCTGGGACACTATTTGTCTTCGAAAAAAAGATAGAGGTATAATGAATTTCGAAAAAGAGTTCGTATATCAAAAAATTAGATTAAATAACTATTTTCCAGGCCCATATTCCAAAAATGTATATTCTTATTTTCCGTCATTGGAAATATCAAGTTTGAGTAAATAAACTTTAGTCAATACTAAAATATCGCTTATTGTCCGCTTTTGCCTATTTTTAATCCCATTCGTCCTTGGCTTAAAGTGAATGCGCGTTCCAAGTGCACAAGTGCGCTCGGGTATAAAAATAACTATTGAACTTAACGTTTTGTATAAAACTTAAAAAATAAAAATCATTACCACTGACGATATTCTAAATAACACTGTGCGACAATTTTATGACTATTCAAACCAGCCCGATCTTTGCTAATATTTTCCGAAAGTATACATATCCAGTAATAAAATACGCGATGGATTTGCAAATCGTCGCCTGGATAAAAGATTGTTGTATGTTACTTTCGGCAAGTATTGGGAAATCGATGTTAAAGATTCAGTCTCAATTTCTCAAAAGCTGTACAATCGTTTTTTACCAAAATTTAACGCTTGATTGTACATACTATTTAAAGTATAAAACCACATTCTCTTAAATTTTCAGTAACTCATATAGCTTTTACAACCACTTTTTTATAAAGCCATTTTGTCGTATGTTACATTTTCACGTTAAACGCTGGTCAGCTGTATGACACTACAAATTAGGGATGCTAATTTTTCGACTTTTTCCGATCCCGGTATTTTCGGGAAGGCGTTGTCACAATCCCGGAATCCCGGATTTAGATATTCATTACTTTTCAACAACTTGAATCGAAAAAATTTGTTTCTATATTCTTTGAGAAGCTCTCCTACCATGAAATAAATAATAAATAAATGGGTTTGAAACCTACTTTTTTATTTAAAGTGGCGTTTTTTATTTTTTTCTCTCTGACCGCAGGATTTATTTTGAAGGACTTTATAATTTCAAAGATATGATTAATTCCAAAAATTGTTAAAAAATTCAATGCACTGAAGAATAAAAATATGGGTAACAAATGCAATAGAAAATTCAACAATTTATATTGAGCTCGAGGCCCTTTTTTAAATGAAAATTTATTGTGGAAAAGCCACAATAATTTGAAAAAATGGTAGAAGTGATAGCTATTTCGGAAATCACCACATTTCCTCATCGGACCTCTTTCAGTAGGATTCGAACCGACGATTCCACTGACTCAATTTTCATTTAAAAAACGGCCTCGAGCTCAATATAAATTGTTGAATATAATTGTTATAAGGCCAAAAAATAACAAGAATTTAAAAAATTTAAATTTTTTTGGATTCACAAGGACGAATAGGTAATTTTTAAGCTGACAAAGTTAGAAGAACGAAATCCGAGGATGTTATCGAGTTTATATAAGCCCTTAACACATAATTTTTTCAAAAACAAATATTGCGAAATTTCTAGGATAAAATTTTGAAATGACAATTTCAATATTTACCTTCTGCACCAGAAACTTGAATCTGTTTAAATTCTACAGGATTTCCTTATTAATTTTATACCCATACTTCTCTAAGCACATTTCTGAATTTCTTAAATCATTTTTGAATTACTGACGTCAGAGTGAAAAACTAAAAACGCAATTTTACTATATTTGGCCCAGGGTTTCGCGGTATATTTTTATTTGTGTTTAAAGTTTACTATCACGCGGTCTTCTCTGTGTATAATGAGCTAGACATTTAAAAAAAATATTAATTATTAAATAAGAAAAGAAATATAGCCAATACTGCTCAAGAAAAGGAGTTTCTATTATTTCCATCAGTGCAAATTACAAATCCCGATGATCCCGGGATTGCTTGCCAAGAATCCCGGATTTTCGAGATCTTAAAATGTCCGGGATCCCGGGATTAACATTGCTACTACAAATCACACACACATAGTCTGTTCCAAGGTACATTGAACAGGTAGTATCAGTAGAGCAGCTGATTTGATTTATTTTCAAATTATTTGGTCTCGAAAATGTCAAATATTTTTAATTTTTTCTCACGAAAATTATAAGTTGTTAAAATCCATTGGCTTGTGAAACCTTTTTCCATACAAAACAAGCGATTGAATAGCAGCTTTTGGAACGTTCGCCCAACTCGGCAGCACGACCGCTGATTACTGGGCTTTACAAAGGATGGATCAATGCTTGGAGAAGCAAACAAATTTACTAGGAAAGAAAGTTGCATAAATTTTTATTTTTTCCAATTTCAATTTTTTATTTTTTATAATTTTTTGTATTTCACATGGCACGCTTTGATTTAGAAGAAAAAAATCAGAACAGTTGTTGACACTTTCGATACCAGAAGCAACAACAAAATACACGCAAATGTTGTTTTTGCTCTACTGATACTACCTGTTTAATGTGCCTTGGTCTGTTCCAATAGCAGTCCGGTTTACGGGATTTAGTCAGAACTTACAGGAAGTCGTTCCTATTGACATAAAACCTTCAAGTGGGAACGCATTTGAGAGAGTAACTGAGCAACTGTTCCTAGTCAGAAGTTACAGGATTTAGTCCGGAGTTTCTTTTACTGTAAGTTCATGGAAAGTGTCAAACGATCAGCTGATTTGCATGTGCAAGCAAAAACTAGCAGCGGTGAAAGCAAAGTACCTTATATTTGTAAAAAAATGGAAGTAAACAACGAAATGTTTTAATATGTATAGATTTTAATAATTTTTAGTGATATTTCAGCTAAATCAGTGTTGTACAAATGACTGACGTTTTTACAGGAAATAGTGCTTTTTACGTTCCTATGCATTTCTGCATCTGTTCTCCTTTTACTCTCATTTCACAGTTTGACAGTTCCACAGGTTTTAGTCCGAAGTTCAAAGGAACAGACTAAATGCGAGTAAGCAAAAGGCTGAAATTGTTGGTTATTTTTTGCTCGTTCGCAAAAAATTTGTAATACACTTGAGATGTAAATGAATGAATAAAAATCAACAAAATATTAAACAATTTGTCAATAAGAGTTGCCGTCATCCGACTCTCCATTGTATAGGATTGGTGTGATTTTGTCGTATGTACCATACAATTAGTCACATAACAGGCTAACCTAATATTCGCGGCTTGCGTTTTGGTACGCACGCCGTCGAATTTGTTTTTTTGCGTCACCCGAAATTGGCTTGCGTGCGTTTGCATTTGATTTCATTGAGCGAAACGTCAAATCAAAATGTCACGCAGAACAAAAATTGCAAATTGAGTTAGCTTCATACGCACGCCGTTCAATTTCGGTTGGTCCCATACAAGTTGTATGTGCATGAGAAATTTTTGACAGTAAATTGGCGGCGTGCGTGAATATTAGGTTAGCCTGTAAGACAATATTTTAACAAGTAATCAATTTCATCGAACTGTATGAAAATTTTGTCGTATGTGAAATTTTTCGTCATATACAAGGAAATGTTGACAGAGTCGCTTGTGAACTTGCAAATACGAGAAAATTTTACTCAATATCTCCGAAGCTAAAGGAGATATCCAAAACCTGATAACACCAATCGAAAGATCTTATTTAAACAAATAAAACTGCATCTTTAACTGAAAATCGTCAAAATGACGCTTAGTCAGCTTTCAGACACACCAAGTCTTGCTTTCAAGTGTGCTCGTTCCGAGGCGAAGAAGGTGAAAAGAGAGGGGAAGAGTACAGATACTCCGTACCGTCAATTCGTTTCAAGTTTTCTTGTCTCTTTGGATCTTTTCGTTGCTTCCCATTTAAAGAACCATGAACTTGAATTCAATAAAAGTAGACGCGTCTGGAAGCAAATAGAAAACACAAAACAGTACGCGAAAAAAATTGCTTTCAAGACTTGACGTGTCTGAAAGGGGACTTACGACAATCTTTTACCCGGGCGACGAAATGTTACCCCGTATTTTTATTTTATGTCCTACTAAAGTTTTCATGTCCCGGCCTAAGTAGTTTTCAACAAAGTGGAAAATATGGTTAAAAGAGATGCCTGAGCGAAGTTAAAGGTTAAGATACATAGTAAAATTTCATGGGAAATATTTTCGTATAACATTTTAACCCATTAGCCCCCGCCTTAAAAAGTCGTTTTGACCATTCCCAATAAACACCAAAAAAATAATTCTCCAACCTTGGAGAAATTCATAGTTCTCAAGTTGATATCTAACATCATTCTCCAACTCATCTCTAACCCACGCGCAGATACGTAAAAAGTGATAGAGATACGAATTTTTAATTATCAAGTGAAAAACTAATGGCCTTATTCATAAAAAATAAAGTAGGTTTAAAGAGCTTTATAAAATGACGTTTTCATACATTTCTCAGTTTATAAACCTTTCTTAAAGCTACTTTATTTTTTATGAATAAGGCCGTAAAGCAATATAAAGGGGAAAACTACCAACGAAAAGTAAGTAATCTTCAAAGTATCCTCAAATATTCTTGAAAGAAAATAAAACGCGAAGTGAATCAAGTGGCATAATTACTGTCGGACTGTATACTGTGAAGTGAATTATTAGTTGCGTTCGCGTAGCTGTTAATTTTTCATGTTTAACCAAAACTTTCCGGTTTTTGCGTTCGCGTACGCAAAAAACTTGCAAAGTAGGGGAAATTGATAGAGCAAAGTGACATTTAATTTTGAGGGAAGCTGCTGGTTTCTGCTGGAAAAATTTTTGCCAACAGGAAAACAGCTGATCAAAAAGAGCTAGTTTGAATTTACGCAATTTACGCAACTTACAAAATTGAATTTGATGGTTTGGAAGTTAAAAATGACAAAATGCGACTAATTAAACTTGTAAGAAGTAAGTAGTTATTTGTTTAATCAATAAACTGTGTCAGCATACCACTTTGTAATAAGTTTTCGTACGTTTTAAATTTTACACTTTTGAATGTAAACAAAAATTATATCAGCTGTTTGTCTAACTTGCAAGTTTCTGCACATTTTCTGTTTACGTACTGTTTTGGATACTTTTCTCTTGTGAGAGAACTGGTGACATTTCGCCGGAATTTTGCTGTTGGTTGGTTTTTACTGGAGATTTTAAACGAACGCACCTATTGTAATACGATATTAATTAACTACATAATACAAAATGAGTAAAAAATTGAAAAATTAATATTTAAATTCATCTATATATGTCGTTTCAATCAAAAAGCTATAAGGTGTTTTACTATTTCAATTTCAGTATTTGAATGATATGTTTG